ATTCCTTTTCTTTTAACTTCACTGAGTTTTGCTATGGACAGTATCACGGGCCTGAAAACTGAGGAGGGATCATGGCCTACATGTTCAGTTGCCAAAATACTGACTAGTGACTTTAAAAAGGGTAAATCTGATAGACGGTATGTGGCCAGCCAAAGCGAAGAAAAAAAGAGAGAAAACAAAAGAATAGAAGACTAGTCCAAAGTAACATTCCCAAGGTAGCTGCCAGTATCAGTGAATCAACAATTTCTTAAGCAAGCTCTATAAACAAAAATCAGAGTAGAAATCAACAATTCCGTCATTCAGGTGGAAACAGACTAAACAATCAAAAACGAAGTAAAAAAGCATATTCAGTGTGCTGTTTATTCTTTCAATTGCTTCTCACAAACAAGCCTCTTCAAAGGGAAAGGATTCCTTTATAATTCGTATTTTTTAACAAGAATTAGATTTAATGCTTTATTCCTTCATAGATTTTTTTTTATCAAGAGTTCCTGGAAGTATTTTAAGTGGATTCTGTTCTGACAAGGTGCATAAATTCAGCTGAAAGGCAATGGGTGTTAGGAATTACCTATCTATCCCAGAAACAATGTAACCTTTTTATCTGTTGTGCAGGTGCGCATCTTGTATTAAATGTGTTTCTGTAAAACCGAAAACCTGTTATACATTGCTGCAAGAACACTGTTGAACTATCTCTTAATTCAGTGTATTTACAGAACTAATTTTTGCTACTTTAAAAAGAAATCTCACTAAAACTATAGTGAAGTAGCACCTGATACTATGTTGTATCTGATTATTGAGCTGTCCTAAAATAACATGTTTGAAGTTCAAGTGACAAGATGAAGCTCATAGTGTTCTTTTGGTGAGATTGTTTACGATAATCATAAAAATGTCTCATAAAGTTGCAAAGGCAAGTCCACCATTAGATGTGTCAGCTACACCACTATTATCCAGAAAATCTAAGCTAAGTGAAGGTGAGGGAATAGCAGCAGGGGAAGAGAAGAGTGAGACAAAGGAGGGAACTTTTGGTTTACCTTGATTTTGAGAATCCAACCGCTTTAAAAAACAGAAAACACCACAAGGCTGTAGAAATCCTGGCAATCTCAGGACAGAATTGTTTGAGACAAAAACGTCACAGTGGAGGCTGCTGGTTAATTGGTAGTTTTTTCTTTCCACTGACATAACTTTATATCTTTCATGTACAAAGCCTCAGCCAGATAGGTTGCAGCTGAAATAGTCGGGAGTTGTATTTGTGTGAGAAATATAGTTTAAACAAAATTACATACTTTTGGTGTTTGAGATAATGACACCACATGATTCTCAACAATAATTTCAAAAAAGTTCAAAAGTGTGGAGGAGTCATAACCTTCTAGGACTTTACTAATAATCAATTGGGGAAAAGTCAAAAAAAAAGAATTATTTCACTACTTTCCTTTCAGAGATGCATTAAAAGGTAATGTGTTTTAAGGCTGAGTTGCATAAAGCAGAATTCATTGTCTCCTCCTGATAAGCATGAAGAGATTTTTTTCTTTTAAACTCCCAGAACTACACTTCAAACATAAAATGTCTTTCTGAGAACTGAAGAAAATCTGTTGATTAATTTATGTTAATACTAGTTTTTAGATATTTAGCATTTAGTACTAGTATCTAGGTATTTCTTTTCCCCAAATGGTCTTGCTGCCAAAATAAGACATGCTCTCCAAAGCCTTCATAGAGTGAAGAGTCAGGCAGTACATAATATTTTGGCCACAACAGGATACCACTGTTAGGATGAACATAGCCAAACACATAACAAAGTCAACAGTCATGTCATTCAAAGCCATGTTGATACCAGAAGTAATCAAAGCATACCTCTTCTTTGCAGCTAATTTTCCTTCTGTACTTCTGCTGATGGAAATGAGTCCATTTGTTGTATGACAAGAAACATGTATGTGTTTAGACTTCTCACTGGTAAATTGTTTGGCCACCAGCCATTTCCGAATGAAAAAAGCTTGATAAACTGTTCAGGTTGAAAAACTGGATGCCAGATGGTCTGTCCACTCTTCCTTTACCTGATGTAAGCAGGCTGTAAACTTGGGTTAGCTGGCAGTCTACTCTAGCATTGGTCCAGAGTAGGGAAAAGCAGTCAGACTGGAGGAGCAAACCTAAACAGCAATTTTTTAAACAAATTAGAAGTAGCACTATGTTTATCTTGCTCATAATATTCATAGTAATATTTGTGTGGGAGGATTGCTTGCTGTTTATCTATGAAAGACTAACATTAAGAGAAATATTTCCAAAATAATCTTGATATTCTAATTTGGAGCAAATGTTGAAGGTAAATGATAAAAAAGAAAGAAAAAAAAAGCAGTTTTGCAATTATTCCTTAACTAAATGTGAGAGAGACAGGTGATTCAACATTGATTTAAATGTAATTTCATTTTAAAGGAAATGCACAGCTAAAAACTTCAAATACCCTTAACTCTGCCCATTAAAGTAAGACAAGTACACAATTGTTATAATGTATAAAACTGTTATAAAGTTACTTGAACGGTTTTGAGCTATGCTGTACTAACTTTAAATAGAGTTTTTTTAGCCCTCATGGTATCACTGCACAAATGAATATATAATGCTTTTCTGAATATGACTACAATTTTCCTGTATTTTTTCTCACTGCTTTTGAGCATATACCAGTAAGCTTGAATGAACATACGACTGGGGTAGTCAGTTGTTCTGGGAAGGGAAGCTACCCATTTTTAAGGGGAAACGAGAGGTCCCCCATGTTCCAGAAGGCTGTTACTGGAAAGACTGGGGTATTTCGGTAGGATGCTGGGTTTTTTGATCTAGAAATATGTCTCAGGGTCTCCATATGGATGATGTATGCATATACACCCACATGACTGACTGAGTGAATGAGAGAAAAGCACAAAGCAGGTGAGCAGGTGCTCTCTAGTGTTAAAAGTGGTGATCAAACGGATGATGGCAATTACAAGACTGGGAAGGGATCTGTCAGGGTGACTTCAAAATTGTTTTAGACAATTGCAATGTGACAGCAAATTTCCACACAGCCGGCATAACTACGGGGAGGAACCGGTAGGAGAACATATAAACACACCTCTGGTCCAGCTAAAGCCCTGCAAGGAGCCTGCCTACAAGTATTCCTTGGCCAAAACCTACTCGTTGACTGCTCCGGCCTCAGAAGACTCCATTTCAACCTGAGCCCTTAAAATAAAACGTCCCCGGGCTCTTCAAATAAATCATCCCCCTTTGCCTTTACTCTGTCCATCAACCACTTTGAAAGTGTACCAGGCGCTAAAGGGATTAAACCTCGCACTAACTCGGGGGCAAGCTTTGTCGTACACGCCGGCGGAGTACAAAATCCAGAGGCAAAGACGTGGTATTGACTGCCCGGCTCGGCAGAAGGGGGATGGGGAGCGCCTCTCGCCTCGGCAGCCCAGGCATGGGTGCAGGCGGCAGGGGGAGGCAGCTCGTCCCTGCGAGCCCCCCTGCCCGCAGCCACCCGGGCTGAGCCGGGGTGGCCGCGGCTCCGGGCCCCTCCGAGCCCCTCGCAACCAGGGACCTCCGCGCCTCTGCCTGCGCCGCACGGATTTCTCGGTGGCTCGTTCGAGAAAGGCAACGCACGGATTTAATTTCCCCTCCCGCGCCGCTTCCTGAAGAATGAGGAACTATCCCACCTGTGGATCGTGCACTTGTTCTCTCCCTGAGAAGCGCTGCCTGCCTTTCAGGTGAAAGTAGCAGGCTCCGCGAAGGCTTTGGAGGTCTTTTATCTTATACCTACGGATATACATTTGCTTGTATTTCCCTAAGCAGAAAATGACTAAGACACTTCATAACAGTGTGACGTATGGGAAGCAAATTTTCTACGCCCCAGATCTGCTTTTTCAGAGATCCGGTTTAGTTTTCCAAAAGAAAAAAAAAATAAAAATCCCAAATAAAGTCTCAAAAGTGGGAAGCTAAATCCTCGCTATGGGCTCGTTTTTCAGCGTAAAATTTCACTTTCAAAGCGAGGGGGAAGTACAAACAGGGGGTACATTTCATTTGTACTTATGTTGTGCATGCTTACATGTCATGGAGCGTTCTCTAAATTCTCATCACTTCACCGGATAGGTCCTTCTTTCAGTGTATTTTAAAAGTGAAACACATTAGTCCACTCTTACCGAACTGAAGAGGAAGACAGAAAAAGGAAGAAAACTGGGTTAAGGAGAAGCGAAGTGACCACAGCTCATGCGAATAGTCCACCTTTTAGTGTAGGTGTCACGGGGCGACAGTTAAATAATAACATTAATAAAAGTAAAGAATGGAAATTTGAAAAGAAACCCCAGGGAAGAAGCTTACATTAACAATTGCGCTCCGAGTGCTCTGGAGCGCTGGAGAATTCATTGCCACAGCGCCCCCTCCCATACACAGCCTGAACTAAAGATTTTATCCTGAAGAAGGGGAAAGAAAAGTTCTTTCTTCTCATTTCCCCCTTTCAGTTTTCTCGGTTATTGCCTTTAACCCTATGAGCAGACGTACGGCAGAAAGGCTCACCCAACTCATCCCGTCTCCCCTCACTTGCACAGGTCGCCCCTGCAAAGCAGCTCGTTCAGAAAGAGCCTCGCAAACCAGGCTTCTGTTACTAGAAAACTGGACAACTCCGCTTGCATAGTATGCGTGTGCCGTTTTTATTTTTAAATACAATAGTCTATTATTTCACGTCGCTGTCTCCGGGAGATGGTGGCGGTCCCCCATTTCATGACAGAAAGGAGAAAGCGTTCCCACACCATTGTGTGGTTATGTCACAGGAAACTGTTTCTGCTGCGCATTGTGTTACATCTCTAAAGCTCACCAAGTTCCACTTCGCTCTGCTTAAAAAGTTGCTGTGACCAGTGTCATGACAATCGGGTAAGCGGCATTGTCCAAGTAACAGGCATGTGCGCCTCTTTGGGCCACAGTGATGCAGGAAAGGTCTCCTTGCTGGAGAGATTTTTTTTTTTTTTTTTTGCACCTGAGTAAAATGTAAGAGAATGGGGTCCTCGATAAATAGTCCCCAAACGCACAAGTCCCGGGCAGAAGCTCAAGTGGTTGTTGCACAAAGCAGATTGCGCTCCCGTAACAGTGGCATGAGGGCAATTCCCACAGACGGGGCTCTCAACCTCGCTCGCCCGAAAACTTCAGCCTCTGTCACTTGTGCAAGGAGAGAGAGCCAGGGCTGGGGGGCTACCGGCTACCTGCTCAATTGTACCTGGAGCAAAGCAAATTACAGAAGACAAGGCGAGCGCCGCTTAAAATCTAGGAAGGTAAACGCCGAACAAATTAATAGATTATTCAAATAAAAAGGCAGTGTGTACAGTCTTAATGTCTCTGTGTAGGCATTTTAATTTGCCACAGTTATTATCAATAAAAAGTGCATGTAATACTATTCTGCTGTTTAACTGTGCAAGTTAGATGGCTTTTTATTAGTAACGGGTAGTACTATGGGAAAATTAGATTTCAGCTGTGGAGCCAGGCAGATGAAAAACCTATTCCCTGCACAAGGCATTCAAATCAAACAGAGATAACTCCGAGAAGTTAAATAGAGCCACGTACACTGACCAATATTTTAAAACATTATTGACACGGTTTTCTGGTTTGTTTATCGCAAAGAGTTCAGCAGCTATATTCAAATTACCCCACTGGCTTTTCGTTCTGTTTTGTGCAGTCAAATTAGTGGCGCGCTTGGTGTAATAAAATGTATGCTCTCTCCTAGCAATGGGCAAATCTATGCCTTTCTGAAGGCATACAAAAATTATGCAAATCAAACCAACGCAAGAACTTGTCTTTTGAAATGATAATATTTTACCCCACTAATCTCTGATTGCGAAATTACCCCCCATTTCCGTATATAAAACAATAGTTTTGGACTGCACAAATTAAAACATCAGAAATAGAATCTGTTACTCTTTGTGTTTGGGGGAAGGGGACTTATTACGCTCCAGATTTAAGCATTGCTCCTACCGAAATCACACACAACACACAAATTCATCGAGGTAAGACATGCAGATGGAACAGAAAACAACACCTACATTTTATACGAACGTGCATGTATACCTGGCGTGTATAACATATGTATATGCATGTAGATATGTATGGAGATTTGCATCTCTGGTGTGTGCGTGTGTGTCTGTGCGTATCTACACACACTCTGAACTGAATTATATCAATTCTCCTGGGATCACGGTATTTATTTAAGTACTCTTCCCAGGTCATAACTGTAACACTCACTTAATAGCATTAATCCCCTGTTATAATGTAAACACAACGGTCATTGTATTCCCAATCTGTATTGTTCCACTAATTATTAAAGAGGAGGAACTAAAAGCAATCAATTCGCGTAGATAAACATTCATTTACACCACCCCTGTTGGAAAGAACAGACTGGGCTTCCCAAATAAAAATGCAGCGAGTATACTTCATTTTGCAAGGCATGCAGGTTGACTTAGAGAGATTCCTGTATGACTTTATAATGTCATAATTAATTTTGCATCCTCAGCTCTGCAGATGCTGCTCCGTTCAGAGACAGAGCTCGTATACTCAGAATTCGCTCTGCGGAACACAGAAATTGGTTATTCAGATGTAATCGCCTGATATCGATTATCCCACAGAACTCCTGAAATATGAATGTGTTTTATATAAAGCTCTTGTTTTTAGAGTTTCTATTTTTATTTAATATATGCGCATTAATCAAGCAAGGAAGCAAACGTCTTTTCTGTAATCTGTTGCACTGAGTTTACCAGTTGTTTATCACTCTCTTATCAGGAAGTCGGGAGTTAATGACAAGAAATACCTGTTGGTGTTATCCTCCTCCCCCTCACCTGCCTTTTTAAGGATTGCCTCTTCTACAGGCCAGCTGATAGAACTGGATAGGAGTTAATCCAGTATGTCTGGTGGCCAGATCTCTTCTGCTGCGTGCAGGGGTAAACTGGTATGTAGATTTCACTGAGAACGAGGAAAGGAAAGAAATGAAAAATAACGTAGGAAAAGGGGAAGCTAGAATTGCTTCATACTCTATACGTAGCCTTATACTCGACCGTAGTTTTAATACGGCAATATCCTCGCTATGTCCGCGAGTCTATTGAAACGGCTTCTCGAAGTGTATTTTTTTATTAGCTGCATGTTTAATTGATTAACAATAGGCTGCCCTGCTAACCCATAATTCTTCAGTTATTGCCATCTCTCCTTCCTGTCAGTTGCGAGCCGATTCCTCGGCGTTCTGTGATCTGATGCTTTTTCTCCCTCTTAGCTAATTGAAATTACCTGAGGAATTTTTTAAAGAAGCCATGAGTAAACGTAAAGCGACTTCATTTGCTTAAGTACGGGATAATGCTCACTCGCACATGTGGGAAAAATAAAACACACGGTTTGATGAACCTTGGGGTG